AAATATATATATATATATATATTATTATTATACAATAATTCTAGTTTTGAATATTAATATACGATTTATGTGCTATGCTTTTAGACAAGTATAATTGGAATTTCTTATATTTATTTCACGATACATTATGATTATACTGATGATACTTATAACATGTAAGTATTATTATTTTATTGAAATTAAGTTTTTTTTTAAAATTACGTTATTTATTAATTAGTAACATAATATTTTGATATTCTGATGGAATTTTTTTTTCTTTTTGCTTTCCATTAAAAATATTTTTTTTAATAATGAGTTTTCTTGTAATGAGTTCATAATGGTTTTATTGATTGAAATGCATTATTATGAATAAAAAAAATTGGATAATTTATTTCGAAACTCATTATGTTTCTCATAACAGCAAACGCAATTTATCAATAAAGAATAATTACGAATAAAACTCGATATAAAGTATCAAATTAAATTTACAGTTGACAAAGTTATTCGATTCTCGAATTACGAAATAATCACTTCTAAATTATGATACGAGCATAAAATTATTTTATGAAAATACATAATATTGTGTTGTAGAATATGAAATTATTAAAATTTCTATAATAAAATAAATACATTTACAATATTCTTGATTTTAATTAAAATTCTGAAAATGTGTATTTTCAGAATTAATATTCATTTCTAATACGGAGAATACAATTTGAATACAGATTGTACGATATTTATGCAAATTAATATTTCGATGAATATGACTAAAAAAATCGAACTTGAATGAGAAATTTTGTTTTGAACATTAAATATTATAATATTTCAATTGAATATGTGCATTTTTGAATATTATGCGTATTTTGTACATTTTTACATTTTGATTATGTATCTAAATGCATGAATATCTGTAATTTATTAGTATATTGTATTTTTATAAAAATTTATATTTTATATTATATAATATTATGTTATAATTATTCAAGTGAATATTTTACCTTTTAAAGTTAAATCAGTCAAAGAAAAAGATTTTTTTTTCATTCATCATTCATGAAAAAGCAAAAGTTTAATTAAAGAACGTGCAGTTAAAAATAAAAAATAAAAAATAATAAATCTATAGAAAAATTGTTATACGTGGATATGAAAATGTCAAAATATTATAAAAGATATTTCTTTTTTTGTGAATATACAATAACAATTTTTTTTCCCACGATTTCTGACAAATAATTTTTATCATTCATTTTTAAAACAAAATCAAATTAATATCGTATTGTATATATAATTTAATTTTATAATCAAAAGATTGTTATTAAAAAATCGAAAAAATTCTTTTCAATTATGACAATGTCAGAATGTACATATCAAAAGCAATAATAATAAAAAATTAATGCAATTATAATATTTATTAAAATCCCATATAGAATTAAGAATTTATCAACTTTTCTTTCTTCAAACATTTTTAAAAATATAAATTTTTGAAAATATAAATAACAAACATTTGAAAAAAGAATTAATTCTATTAAAATTAGATTTTAATAATATTGTAGATATATTAAATATTATAATATTGTAGATAAAATAATAAGTATATTTGTAGTGAGGAAATCATTTTTTATGTAATGGTTTTTGTCATTAAAATTGAAATTTTTGTAAAAAATGAAAAATATATCGATAATATATATGTTATTTTTATAATATTTGCTCTTTTGTTATAATTAATTCACAATAGATATATTTTATATTTTGATGATACTTGACATCATTTGATTTCAATCGTATAAACAGATGTACACATTCAAAACAAAATTTCTCAAAAAGTTGAAATGACATTATAAATGAAATAATTTAAAATTTCTTTATCATTTCGTTTTTCCATTATATTCCTTCACGGATAATGCACATGATATTAAAAATAAATATATTTAAATTACTTTTTTATATTACTTTTCATATTATTATATCGATTTCACATTTTTATTATATTTTTTTTCTATTATATATTTTATATTTTATATTTAACATTTTACATTAAATGTTTTAAAAAATTTAACGTTATTTTTAAGGAATTTCATTTGGCCCAAAACTTTTCGCCAGGGATACCAATATAATGTAATTTTCGAGTTAGCGCGAAATTTCATCTTCTTCCCTCGAAGAAAACAATAAATACGGTGGTCTCTGCTCGAAAGAGAATTAACAGACCACCTTGAAGTTACGACCGCCTTCTTCGTCTTCGCCTTTACACACTGGCGCCGAACTTTTCAACAAGCACAATGGATGCATTTCAAGAGGATATACCGCGAGAAACATAATACCGAAGGAGGGAAAAAAGGCGGAAAAGAATGATTTGAAAAAGGTCGAGATATTGCACAAGAGGAGATTGTTGGATGTAGGCCTCGAGGAGGTGCATGACTCGACCAAGGGGTCAAAGGTTGTTATCATAAATTAGGGTCCAAGTAATATATTTATAAACAAAAGTTTCTTTTTTTTTTTTCTTTTTGAGAATTTTACATATGCATTGAGAGAAAAATATTCTTGAGAAATACGTTGTTTTGAAATACGTTTGAAAATATTTGAAATAAAAGTCTGATATTTTTTATACGTATTGAAAAATATTTTAATAGTTTGACAATACTTTAATTCTTCAAAAGTGAAAAATAAAAATAATTGTCGAAAGTTTTATGATCAAATGGATTGATATTTTCAGAATGTCAAAATATTTAAAAATTACACAGTTTTTGAGATATATTTTAAAATATTTTTATTTCAAAAGATTAGTTTTTATATTAACAAAAATATGAATACACTTAAGAATATATTTAAAATTCTCTTGAGAATATTTCTTGCAAAATAGGAGATTGAAAATTGAAAATTTTGTTTAGTCAGAAAAATTTTTACTTCCAACATAATTTTTATTTACGAAAAATAATCACGGAGAGTGAAATATAATCGAAAAAAAGAATTTTTTACAAATTCTTTAAAAAAACATACGTGTCTTTAGGATACGAATCATTTAACGATGAAAAAATTATTTTTAAAATTATTTCTCACTAATTGAGAATAAAAATCACTGCATTGACTTTCAATGTTCATTCTCTTTCCTGTCTAATATGTATTCCTAACATTCTTTTCGACTCATTTTCCAACGATGTTTCGAAAATCTTGACAAATCCACCGTTTACGCCAAAACGTAAAACGCTTGTGTAAATCTTTATGGCTCCCTATAACTCAATTTTTATTCGTGGCATGTTTACATTCGGTCGCCGGTTTTTGGGCAACCGAAATACTTCTCCAACGTTACGAGCGGATCGTTTGAAAAATGAGAAGCGTGGCTCTAAGTCACGTGTCACACTCGAGAAGCCTGGGAGACGACAAAGTTACACACGGGTCGAAAATACCCGTTGGATGTTTTACAACATCACGCTTGACGCGCGATTTATACTCTTTTACGTTTTTTTTAAGAGTATCACATTCGGCTCCTTCGTGCATTTAATCGTCCGAGTGGCGAAAGGACGAAATAATGAATTAAATTAATGGGTATTCTCTTGAAAATTAAGACTAACGAAATTTGTGTTTTTAACTTTTGATTTTTGTTTTTTTAAAAATAATAGTTTGCATCAATTTGAGAATACACCGTGCATGAAAAGGATAACGTAGTGATTGAAATATGATTCTTTAATTTTGATTTTTGATTCTCTTTGTCGAGGGATTATTGACAAAATAAAATCAATTCGAGTTTTTTTCGTTCGAGTAGCAAAAGAAAAATATTGAAAAAATTAAATTGATGGATATCCTGTTGAAAATTAAATGACTAACGAATTTAATTGAAATTTGAGAATTTAACTTTGATTTTTTGATACTATTCGTGTCGAGGGACTATTGATAAAATGAAATCAGTTACATCAATTTGAGAATATATTGTGTATGGAAAGGATAACGAGTAATTGAAATTTAATTTTTTAATTCTGATTTTTAATTCTGTTCTATCTGGCATCGAGGAATTATCGACAAAATAAAATCAATTGCTTCGATTTGAGAATATTTTGAGCATGTTTTTATTTTATATAAATAGTTGATGTATAATATAATTATATATATTATATAGAAAATATTATTAAAACTAGAGAATATTGTGATTATATATTGATAATATCGATAACGGATGAAAATAATTAAAAGAGAATAAAAAATTCTGATTTTTTCTTATTCACATTTATTATAGTATATTAAAAATATTATTAATATTACAAACAGAAATGTAAGTATAATATAATTTTTCAATAAAGTTTATAATATTTAACGATATCTTAATGATATATCAAAAATTATATCAATTATATCGATAATCAATAGTATATATAATCATAACTCTAAATATTGCACATTAAATATACGAAAAATTATTAAATTTAAAAGATATTTTAATTTGAATTTTATATTCTAAAGTTTGTTGCATTAAAAGCAAGAAATATAAAAAAGCAAAGTGATACTGATCTATTCATGTTTTCCTAATAAAACATCTTGTATATAAAATCTCAAATGATTGGAACAATATTTATAAAAATTATGAAACATTTATTTTCAAGATATAAAATATAATTGTAAAATATATATCATTATTTATATAACATTTTTATAACAAATTATGTCAATATATTAGCTTATTTGTTAGTGTATCAAATCAAACTTTCATCAGTTTGATATAAATATTTTTCTGATAGATGAACGTATAAAAGTCGTACAAAAAAACTTTGTTTTTTTTTTTAAGTATCTTATAATATCTAATCCATCAAAAAAATTATTCACATTAAATTATGTGTCATGTAAGTTTGATCTGATACATTTTTTTCTAATAACTATATTCAAATTTTGTATAAATATTATATAAATATTTTGTTCTATGCTTTCGAGTAAATACGTGTTTCCTTCTCTTTCTTCTCATCCATATTTCAGAATCCAATCCGATCCGAATTTATCGATTTTTCTGGCAATATTCCTCGAAAAACAGAAACGGAACAACTTACCAGCAAACGCTAATTGTTTGATAAAAAAATCCATCCGCGTTTTACGCCGTTTGCCCCATTGGAGGCCGATTAGGACCGCGATATTACCCACGACTATCATCGCGAACAGCAGCCACAAGACCGTGAATTGTTCCGTCTGCAACAGAAAAAAAAAAAAAAAATGGAACACAACCGTGACGATTCTCAAATATGCAGGATAAATCTCAACATGACTATTTGGAATAACTCGTAAATTTCGTATAAATATTGCACGGTGTAGAGAAATAATTTGACGCTATTAATTTTTGTGTTTTTTTAAATCATATACTGTTTGACAGATTCTTATATCCCAAAAAAATTATTAATTCAAACATTTATATAGTAAAAAAAATTATTATTTTAATAAAACTTATCCAAGATACTAAAGAAATAATAAAATAATTTTCGAATAATAGAATACAGATTTTTCTTCGATGAATTCATATTTTTAAAAAAGTACGTTTATTTACGATAGAATTAGATAATGGTATAAAAAACAGTTTTTATTATAAAATTAGATTATTTTTTTGGTCAAATTGTACAAATTTTTTTAATATATATTTGTATTTCATTGAATTTTAAATTTTTACCAAAATTCTTTTCCTCTACCTTAAAAATTTTGAAGAGAAGCATATTTTCACTCATTTTCAATTCATTTTTCTATTATTCTATATTATTTCAGTATTAGAATTTAAAATATTAATAATATTTTCCTTATTTTTATTGGATTCGAATCATACTATGATTAATGTTTTATTGCATTTTTCATCTATCATATTCTGACTCTTCTCTATCTATCATTTCTATACTCTGCAATATCGTAATAAATTTATCGTATCGAAAATAAATTTTTCTAGAGAAATATTTTTTTTTTGAGAGATATTCATATTCATTTATAATAAAGAGTTTGAATAATAAAATATTCTAAGATATTCGAATAATGTAATTCTATTGTATTTTTATTTAAAAGAGAAAATATGAATAAAACATATTTATTATCTTTCATTTTATAACTTTTGATACAAAATTCAAATCTCTCAAAATAATATATCGATTAATAAACTAAAACTAGATCTAGTCAAAGAAAATATAACCTTAATTTCTATATATTCTTCATATGTCCATATTCTTGCAAAAAAAATAAAATTATATCCATTTCTAAATCATACAATTTTCGTACGAAATATTTTATCATAAAATAAATAATTCGATTTTAAATAATATATAATATATATATATATATAATTTATTCTAAAGAATCACGATACAAAAATCACTTTGAACATAAAACTGCTTACTACAGAAAAATAGAAACATCGATAATAATGGAACACATGCGCCACCGTGTGGTTTTATTTTCAATCATTCGTCGAGCACAGTGGTACGAAAAGATCCATCTAGTAATTTGATTTCTCTCGCGTGGGCGACAAAAGTACCGTTTCAAAGCCGAGGATTTTTCATTCAGACGGTTTGATCGCAGTTTATTCTCGTAAATCACCACTTATCTTTCGAGCGTACAATATTTATTAGCGGTATAATTACGCGTGTAGTATGAGAGGAAACGTCACCGAGGGCTATGTCGAACGTTTCGCAACAACGACAGTGACAAGGATCCATGGTGGATCGTGATCGATGCTTGTTAAGAGTAAGTACAAGCTCTCTAGGCGGCAGCCATTTTCAAAAGAGATCTGGAACAGAGGGCCAATGTACTGAAAGGACAGAATTATTAACTGGGTAAACGAGCAATTTGCAACGAACTTAATCACGATTAAACAAAAAACAATATAGGATTTATGGACGGAATTAGCTGTGTTCTACTGTGATAAAATAGAAACGATTAAAGTGAAATTTTTTTGTTGTTATCTGAATATTCAAACTTGGATTTAGAAATTTGAATTTAAATTTAAGTACATTTTATAGATTTTTTTTACAATTTTTTTTACAATTTAGATTTCTTTTATCAAATAAATCTGATGATATATGATATATATAAAAAAAAGTTGTGTGAAAAAATTAATATAATAATTAATTTGTAATAAAATGTAGAACTTGTGTTGAATTAAATCAAATAACTTGAAAAAATAATATAGAATTTTATTTAATAAACAAATAAAAAAAAATAATGAGGAAAAGGAGAAACAATAATATTTTGTTTGAGAATTTAATAATATTTTATTTATGAAAATAAATGTTAAAAATCATATAATTGTGAACAAAATGTATATATTAAAAAATCGTTTAAATAAGAGATTCAGATGATAAAAAAATTGTCACATTAGGATTTATTTGATTTTTTTTTCCAAAAATTAATCCATAATTTTTATATATTAATATTATGTTAATAGTATAATGGAGTTTATAAAATTCTGCAAAAATGTTTAGAATTTAAAAAATTTATTTATTTATTTAAAGACTTGCTTTAAAAAATTATCAAATTATTAAATAAATTAATTTAAACAAAAATTTGTTGTCGATTTATTATTATTATTAATAAGATTTATTATTATATCATTGCGTTAGTTTTTGATTCTATGAAAAAAATAATTGATTATACGATATTTCTGAATATACGATTTTCAATCATATTAAATGCAAGAATTCCAGAATTATAAATATAACCATTCACACGAAAAATATATTTGTCCTACTTTCTACTTTATTTACAAATTTTCGTGATCTAATTTCAAGTAAAAATGAATCTCGATTTCAAAAGTAAAAAAATTTCAAAAATAGATTATATAATAGTTTTACAATATTCATAAACAATTAAACAATTTTAAAATTGAATATTTTAATATGTTATAATAAATTGATTTATTATGATTCATACACAAATAGAAAATTATGGAAAATTATTTTTTTCATCCATCTAATTAAAAATTCAAAAAAATGTATATGATATAATCAGAAGAAATGTTTAATATTATCATGCTTTTACATTTAACATTTCAAACAAATTTACTCTTACACTCACGAGAAGTTGAAATTATTTTCCCACCAAGTCAATAATTTATTAAAAATTCAAACCACTACACGTATAATAATATACATTAATATCCGTGATTAACCATGCTCTTTGCACCCATTTCTTCAGTGTATACTCCATACGTCATCTTTAACATTAACGTCGAGAAGATCGCAAGTTACAAAGAAAAACGACGACGGCGGAATTTATTATTTAAATTCGCACGAAGCTGAGCTAAGTAAAAGTGAATATCACGGTGAAAAAACTGCCGGTTATATTAAAATTTTCGAGGATACGTGGAGAAAAGGAGGTTACGTAAATTGTGAAATATATCATCCGCAAAATAGGGGAGTGTTCCATATCCCGAATTCGATTGGACATATTTCTTCCTGTGCCCGATGACACTGTTCATTTATGGAAAATCGATTAACTGATATTGTCACGGTTTTCGATACATAGGATGGCTATTAAGTGAAGGGATCAAGTTCATAACTACGTACATATAAAATCTGAATTATATCCAATGCAAAAGATTCATTTCATAGAATTCGAATGGTACAAAGAAAATATATTATATTACACGTGTATGTTTTCACGTTGTGATACATTTGCCAGATATAGTAATATCTAACTGGAATTATTCTCACAGAATTATTATCATACTGGGATTACAATTTTTCAATCACACAATTTAATTGTGAAAAAATTTCGCTCATTCTATCTTATTAATCAGACATTATTATATTAAGGCACTACTATATATTATTCAAATTAAAATATTATATATTTATGTTTATATTTATACATGTATATATATATATATGTATATTTATTTATATTTATCTAAATTTTGAATTCTTTGTTTGAATTTATCTATTTAAAAGTATTATTTTTTTTTCAAAATAGATATTTATGAAATATTCGAATTTGTTAATAAATATTTGTTAGAATATAAATATTTGTATGCCAAATGTGACAAATTTATTTCTTTGTCTTTTTGAATTAAATAACAGATTATAAGTTTCCATTTCGAAACACATCCATGCTGGAATTTCTGAGATGAGTGGATTATTAAAGCAGATTTATGATATAGGTTATAAGGAACCATTTGAAGCGTCATGGTTACATATATGATCAATCATGTGTGCATATATCAATTATATCACTGTAGGTGTACCAATTATCGACAAATTAAATTGACATGTCGACTCAAAAATGATCTCATAAAAATGATCTCATAAAACTTTCTTTGAACACATAAATATCATCTATGTTTATAATACATATAATTAGTTAATTAGGTTAAGTTAGCTGCATAGGAACAAAAATATGGATTAGAATGATGAAAATATTATTTCATCAATAATATTTTTATTGTCATTAATTTCACCGACATTTTTTATTTACAATGATTTCATTAATATTACATATATGTTTGTATCATTATTGATGGCAATTTTCAAGAATACATTACTTTTTTTACATAAAAAATAATAATAAAATATAAATATAAAATCAACGATGTAGATAAAATCATAATTGATGATTTTTAATAGTAATTTACTGTCGTTGATTTCAATCGTTTTTAATGTAATTTATGTAATATGCAAAAAAAAAATATTTATATCAATCATCAAGAATATCAAGATATATCTCATAGATAAATTTCATGTTTCGCAAGAAGATCCAATAATTACTGAAATGATACTAAATGATATGATGATACTATGATATTTTAAACATATTGATGATATTTCTGATAGTGCTGCGATTATTTGTAAAACGACATATATACATTTATTATATTCATTAAGAAATATTTCAAATTTTTAAAAACAATTATTTTATATAATTATTTTAATAATTTAAATAATTTAAATATTTTATAATTTAAATAATTATAATATAACTTGTATACTTGTTTTACAGATACAAAAGTGTGAAAAATGTACATTAGATATAATGTTAATTGCTATTTTATAAATTAAAATTATTATAATTATCTTATTATATATATAATTTTTTAACTAACAACTATTTAACTTCTTAATGATTTATCAATTTAATCAATAAAAAGATTTAATTCATTAATATAATTATAATGAATTATTTATTATTACTTATTTATTACTAAATAAAAATTATTTGATTAA